TCCAGAATACGTTAAAATATCCTCCCACTGATATTTTTATACAGTCACTTCCTCAAATTTCGAAATGCGAATCATATTAAACGAAAAATACAGCTCGGTGTTAGCTCACTCATATCCTGTACTCCTCGAATTATTTTGTTGTAGTTTTTCTTGATTTCCACTGATAAGCAGTTGGAAGCTGCATTTGCTTGACCGACACCAAAATAAATGACACAGAATAGACATAGTATTATCGGTGTTCGGGTCAAAAGAACCTGATGGTCCGCCATTTCATAGACTTGAGCCAATGTCCAAAAACACTAGTCCAATGTCCAATGTCTTTTCTTCTTAATAATTCTTTCTAAAGCGTTCAAACATATCCTATAAATTAAGTAGAGTTTAAGTAGATCTCAGCCAACGACTCTTTTAGATTAAATGACATGTGGCTCTAAGAGGAAAATTAAAACAGAACATTTTATGCCGTAAAAATAAATCGTTGGTGCACTAACTTGTAGAATACATAAATCTGTGTCAGTCCCTTACAGCAAATCCATTGACTTTTAAGTGCAGTGTTTGGAAGCAAAAGATTTTCCAATGATCAAGAATATGTGATTGGAGTAGGGTACTCAACCATGTTGATGTAACTGCAAGAGTTGCACAAAATAACGGCATTAGTAACGGTTTACAGATTCATAGATTTTTATCTCAGACTTCATATTCAATGTTTCAATTGAATTTTGTTTCAAAACAAAGTCATCATATCAAGTATCTCCGATAATGTATTATTATGTAAACCAATTAGTGCACATTATTGACTTTTAAAATTTTCAGGGTAAAAAAAGCCTCAGTTACCTAGCTATACTTACTAATATTCATGTTTGTGCTCTTCGGATACGTAATTGTGAATTGGTTTGCATTATATCAAGCAATGGCATCTACAAATAATTTTTAAAAAAGTATCTTTAGATAGCTTATTTTTTGTCAGTATGGAGTAAAAACCTAATCAAAACAAATTTTGTCAAAATTTCCCTTTATATTTATTTTTATTTATTTGTAGGGATTGTCCGCAGTACACTTTATGTACTGTACAAATTTGACTTTTCCTGAATCCATCTCCCCTACCCACAGTCTCCCTTTACGTTATTCCCACATTATCCATACATCTCAGGAACTACTGTCCTTATTCATCAAGTTTATCTAGACAGTCATTTATCTAATTTGCCACAATGATATGACACATGGAGTCTGTCACTCTAGAAGTCATTGTTGTAGCTGCCACAATGATATGACACATGGACTCGGTCACTTTATATCAAGGGTCAAATGCCTTCTTCTTCCTGACTGATGTACCGTCGTATCAGAATCTGACAATCCCCGCCTTGTTCAAAACAAACATTGTCCCAGCATTACGATCAGAGACGGATATGTCTTCATTTTTGTTCTCTGCCAAATACAGCATGTAATTACTAATTTTCAAGATTTCTATCGAATCGTTATCTTTATACACTTACTGCTTCATTATTTGTCCCTGATATCGGACGATTTTGTTTCGGCCTTTATAATACAGATTGACCAATATGTCCCTTGATCTTGTACAACACAGCCTTCTGTTTACCATCCCTTTTGTGTGACGATCATTATTTCTGTCCTCTTGTGTATGACGATGTTCACAGTTCCATGGTATCCATCACTAGGCCTATATATTAGTTCTCCAGGTTCAGGCACTCTGATATCATCAAGCCGACGTTAACATCCACAATCGGTAGGAACAGTACCATGTGCCGATCCGTTCTTTATTGTTCTGTCTTCTCCGCCAACCAAAGCTTTATCTTCTGCCATAGAAGCTACTCTCCATAAGAGTTGAAATCCTGTAGAAATGGTGGCAATAACTTTGGGTTTGTCTTATAACACTTCAATCTGACGCGACAGTGTCGTTTGTGTCAAAGTCACCTTGTAGCCGCAGATTTTAATACTAGGTTTTTCCATTGGATTTTCCCTTGGATTGTGTTAATTTTCAAAGAGGGAATTGTCTGATCAATGTCTGCATGGATTTTTCTGTATTCGGCAAGTTTATTTTTGGATTTGTAGTTACTTAAATGAGATACGTTGCTGGACTTTATGATTTTTGTTTCGATGAATGGTTTGTGTCAGATCTGGAGTCAGGTTAATAGATTTGGTTTTATGTAAATGTAATACAGGCAGATGATTCTCTTTCATGCACGTGATCTAATTACCAAATCCTATGTAACATTGAAAATACATAGAATACATAGAAAAAAATATTATGCAATCTTCTCAAGAATATCAAAGCCAAGATTTGTCATATGTACATGTATATGGAATAGAGATGTCAACGGATATTGGAATACACGATAATCGCTCGATCATACCGACATTAGACTAAAATGTCTTAAGTCAGTAGGTAATAAACTTGGATTCGCCCATTTCATTTATATACAGATCAATGTTCTCGTACGTATACCGTAAATGTATTACATTTAGCGTGTAGGACATTTGGCGGAAATTCAAATTTCAACAAGTAAGCGTAGATTTGATTTAGCGCTGTCTGAATGTGCTAGTTATAATTGTTAATTTACAAGACATTTAGCGATGTACTTAAATTAGCGAACTCTGCTTTCCGCCAAAATCGCTAAATAGAATACACCGCTAAATTTAATACATTTACAGTAACTCAGGGTATGCTTTAGCAGTTCAAAGAAGATTATTGGTATGTTGAATTATGTTCGGCAAACATGCCTAAAAAATCTTCAGTGTTGGTATAGACATAGCATCAGATTTTCTATTTCAATAAAAATGTGTGGAAAGACAATATACTTGGATGTCAGGATAGAAAAACAGTTGAAAGTACAGCATCAAGGTTATATGAAACTGAACTTGTATTCTGTAGTGGAAAATCAAATATGATGCTTTATATGCTGAATCCTTCAAACATATATATACACAGTCTTCAAGTGAAACTTTCCAAAAAAGTTATTCACAAAAATGCAAAAAAGCTAAGCCGGAGGGAAGACATGTTGCCATCAAAAACACGCTTATCAAGGATTGTCCAACTCTTATTGTTGTAAATGGAGAGGGCTTTCTTGAATTGTTTGGTTTTGTAGATTCAACTTATTAAGTTTCAACCTGCAGTTCTATATGATCTGACGTAATGCGACCGTTCATAAAGAATAATTAATCGGCTGTTACAATGTAAATTGAGGGACAATAAAGAGCGTAATATTAAATGGTGTTTCTTTCTGATGTTAATATCATGCAGCAATTTCAAGATTGTTATGATTGTTTGCAAAAAATATCAAAATTAAAATATATTGTAAGATCTCTCTCTCTCTCTCTCTCTCTCTCTGTAAGAGGTGCTCTTAAATATTCATCAGTCAAAGATCACTGATACGACATGTAAAAATGGCTTCAATTAACAGGTAAATGTACTATCGTTATGAAATGAAAGGACAAATGCTTTAGATTAGTAAGTATTTTATTAATATTGAAATCAGGCACATTGGATACATGTAGATGTACAGTATTTATTCACTACATAAATGTTTATGATTCAGAAACTCATTGTATAATGGTTATAGCGTATTAGAATAAATATTGTACGTCAAGTAGATAATGAATGAAAAAAAGCAAAATGACATGAAAAATTCATTTAAATTTCAACGAATATTCGACTATTGATAGACTAAATCCTCCGACTTTTCGACTGAGCTGTCCGAATAAATTGACATCCCTGATATGAAAGAATCCTTGAGAAATGTAGATTCATTTTTTTAATCATGTCCCCCTGGGGTAGAGAGGAGACTCATCAGGTGATCAGAGTTTTGGTTAGGAAAATATTATATAGGAAAGATAATTAAAGGCCTCCATCTCAAGAACATGTATGCTATGAAAGGATGGTTTTGGGCACGTTTGATTGAAATTGATTCCATGGTTAACAAGAAGAAATCAAAAATGTGAAAGGTGTAAAGACGGATGGACAGACAGACGGCCTAGACAGACGGACTGCAAACAAAATGTGACCAAAGTTCATTTGACCTTTCATCTCAGGTGAGGTAAAACTATTTCAGATTTCTAGGGACTATATTTTTTAGTTTGCAGTTAACATGTTTGAAAGCTATAAAATCATTGTATATTTATATGAAATACAAGAGGTGGACTTGGAATATGGCAAAATACAAATCTGGACCCTATAGAATGAATATTACTTACTACATACGGTTAGGTTATACTTTGTTTTTATACATTGGTATCTGATTCTATTTTTATCACAGAACTAATACCTTAGAATATGGTAAAATACAAATCTGGACCCTATAGAATGAATATTACTTACTGCATACGGTTAGGTTATACTTTGTTTTTATACATTGGCATCTGATTCTATTTTTATCACAGAACTAAGAGCTGTAGGAAAGGCTACATATTTGTCAAAGTATTCTGTCTTTTTGCGTGTTTTAACAGAAGATAGTATGCAGATATCATGACAATCTGGATATACACCTCTCCTTATCAGGTGAAAAGATTTTCTTTACAACTCTGAATATGGATCATTCAACAATCAACAACATAATAAAATTGACACATCTTATTTGATAAAAAAAAAATGACTTCATATATTATTGCCATAGAAAAAAACTTGAATAATGAAAAATAAAATTACGACATTTTAGAGAAAAAAAATCAACTTGGTTTATACAGGTATCTGTTAAAGTAAGCATAATATAAAGGATTCATCTATTTATTATGCCTTTAACTAAAAGTAAACAAAGAATTATCAGATTACAATGTACATATAAAATTTATCCTTGTTATAAGGATAAGTATTATAGCTTTGATACTAGTATATATCATGTTTGTGTAGTCTACATTTTCCAATAATTTCTTAGTTCTGATAGATAAAAAATGTTTACAATGAAATTTTTTACTTAAAAAATGAAATTTTTCAAATATATTTAAACATAGACCAATTATGATCATCTTTTCAAAAGCATATACAAATATCTCTATTCAAGGTATTTAATTTTCTTAACCTTTCCTCCACATTCAGCAACAAATACAAAATTTTCATTCACACATAAACCATATGGATCCTTCAAATCACAGTTATCTATATAACGGAGGAACTGTCCGTCCTGGTCTAGGATCTTCAGTTTGTAGCCATTTTCTTCTGTTGTTGTAGATAATGGTGCAAGAGATCCAAACAACTTGTAGAGCTGTTCTGTATCTACTGGATTAGCATTAAAAATGGGCAATGATACTTTCACTTTGGGAGGAAGTTTGCTGAATTCTTTGTTTCTGGAGATGTATTCTATGGTCATGGACACTTCATTTGATTCTTCTATTTCCTCCAGTTTGAGCAGAGTTTGTTCAATAAGAATCTGTATTTGTTTCACTTCTTCTGCATATTTCTTTATAATGTCAAAGTGTTTTACTTTAAAATCATCAATTTCTTTTTTCATGGTATTGATGACATTGTCAATTTCTCTGTGCCATTGTTTTCCATGTTCTGTCATGGCTGTTGTAAGTTTCTCATATTCTTCATCCAAGTTAGTAATCTGTGTTTCTAGATCTTTTGTGATTTCTATGTATGTAGGAGAAATAATGTTTTGTAATTCCTCTGTATCTTTTGCGATATCATTTTTCTTTGAGTCGTATATTTCTGCGAGGACTAAATATTTATGTCCTTCATGCTGTTTTGATGCAGAGCATAAGGAACAAACAGGAAAGTTACATTCCTTGCATTGTAAATCACATGATTTGGTTTGATGTGTTGCACACTTTGGATAGATCAATGTGTATTTTCTTTGTTGGAATGAGACAATTTGATGTTTGTTATAGTCATCAGCAATATGATCTCCAATACAGGGTTTACAGAGATTGACATGACAGAAATCACAGTACATCTGTACTATAGCTGTCTCACATAGATCACATCTGATCACATCCTGGGCACCGAGGTGGGGATCCATTGTTTATGTAGATGTTCTATAAATATGAAGAATGGTTTTTGTCATTAAAATTGATAATACATTTCTATGAATCAAGAATTATTTGGGCTGGTCAATGAATATTCGTTAATATTACTTCCTAATATTTATCTACTAGTATATAATAAAGATACATATTTAAATGTCATATACATGTAATACGTTACTTAAAATAGAAATTTTTTTTATGTTGGACTCTATTTGTAATAACTTTTTTGCATATCTGCAGACTAAATTAATTCGAGTTTCAATTTAAGGCTATAAATTTGAAATGAGCTTTTGAAAATTATTATGAAAGTATACAAACTGAAAGTAGATTTATAAGAACAGTTTCTATAATGAATTTCCAAATATAATTACCGTTATAGTCAATAGAAAACATGTTTCACATTCGTCAATTCTTTTTTTTATCCTTTTTACAAACTTTACATGGTCCAGGGTCGAGATTGTCACCTCCACAGTGCATGTTCATACTTAGTTTGTGATCGTTCTGAAATTAGAGTTATCGCTCTTGCTGTATTTATTGCGTTCTATGAACTTTAATTTGAGCATCCCCTTGCCTTTTTAAATATCGTAATCGAAATGCCTGTGATGGATACAGTTTAAAGTTATCATCTTAATAACTGTATGATCGAATAAATCCTATCGCTGTGATTGGCTAAGATCCAAACTTGTTTAGAAAATAATAGAATTAGGTTATTGGACTTATATCGGTGAATATTGGCACAAGTTGGCTGTACAAATGCACGAGCTAGGGATTGAGTGCATTTGTACAGCCAACTGGTGCCAATATTCACGTTCAACAATGTAAGTTCAATAAGTCCTTTATCATATAGCTAAACGCCTGTACTGTACTGTAAGTGTTCAATATCACATCATTTCGACGGCCCTATCCTAACTAGCGCGTATGGTTTTTTTTTAAATAATCTAATGCGTACTAAATTTTTAATAAATAAATTCATTTTTGTGAAAAAAAAATAAACAAATCTAATCCAGATGGCAATTCTTTTCCTTAATTTAGCTCTAAGAATTTGACCAGACATCTTTTTTGTTTACAGCGTTTGATATTAAGCGCTCGTATTCCGAATGTTTTGGGCATACTCGTATACGTAATACAAACTCAGCGTTCAATAAAACGTTAAGACACAGAACGCTAAAATCTCTAGACTTTTGGAGTGTTTTTAGAGACTATTTATTAGCTATATAATAATACGTTTTATTATATGATTGAATAATTTCCAGCTCTCTGATTGGCTGAGATCCAACTATGTTAGAAAAATACTACGTTGTATTGACCTGCACGTGACGTTCCAGGTGAATACAAGGATTTATTTCCTCTACATTGATCTAAAAATAGATCGGGAAATTCCAAATTGATAAAATTGTTCTGGAAAGCTATTTAAGCGGCTATGACTTTTTTTTTTCCATGTGAACAAAACATAAGCGAATATATATTTTCGAGTAAAGGTGGTTAAAGGGGATGCAGGGACGCCCCGCCAACTCTTTTACTGAACAATAATTTTTAGTTTTTGGCTGTCAGTTTTCTTGATAATACTCCTTCCTTTCAAAATCTATCCTAAAAAAGACTGACATTATATATTTTTTCATGACAACTAAAATTTATATTTAAAAAAAAATTTCAAATTGATACGACTGGTAAGGTTTATTAACATTTTAATTCTGCTTCTCTTTTGTTTTTGGCTAGGACATAATTAAATGCAAACAAGTAATGAGCTGTGTCATTTTATCAGTGAATCATATAATAAAACGATTATTGCTGTTTTTTTCGGTTAATACAATGATTTAGCCATCTTCGAAGTACAATATTCACCTCGCCCTTCGGGCTCGGTGAATATTGTACTCCTCAGATGGCTAAATCATTGTATTGACCTCAAACAACATCAATAATTGTATAATATGTCCGTCCAGGTGAACTTATTCTAGTACATGGTTGTTACAATTGTGTAGATTTAAGGCCGGGTTTTGGGGTGTTAGCCCAGTTTATCCATACATGTCTTGAACTGTCCATCTTCATCAACTATATGCTGAACAATCATAACTCACCCCTACTAATGTGTTCGGAACCTTTTATTTTTCGGTGTTCTGCAAATTATAAAACCCGATGAGTTCAGAGTAGCTCCTGCAATAGCTCTGGCGAAGGTTACCGAGACTACAGCGAGATAGGGTAAATTATTCACGGAAATGTGGCTAGGAAGTGACTAGCACGTGGAGACATGGTAAACAGAAAAGCTATGTTGCGTTTTAGTTTTCACCACCCTATATATAATATCATTCTGTAGACATGTACTTTAATCGATCTCTCTTTAAATCATTCAAATTTAAATTATAAGTATTCTCTATGTTACAATTTTCTGCTGTCATGAATTAAAATTTCTTTTTAGACAAATATTTAGCATGGGAACCGGGAGTATATTTTTTGGCGTCAAATTAGCAAATGAGGCACCAATGTGACTTTAACTGGCGAATCAGCTGAATAAAAATTGCATTATGGGTTACTACAAATACTACAGGAATTTTACGCTTGATAAATTCCTTTTATTGTATTATCGGTGAATACAATTGTCAGGTGGATTCCCTGGCCAACACACGTGATCATGAGTATAGTTATGTAAAAATAAATGTTTTGTTCGTTTAAATGCATAAGAGAAGCTGCTCCATTTCCTTACCCTTGAAGTCCTGGTGTTCTGAACTTGACACTACCTACGTATACATTTTATGAAACGTAAT